TACGACCTGAAAAAGACTTAATAGAAAAAGGTAAATCATAGAGAAAAGATAAACAAATAAAATGAACCATACCACATATAAAAGACCAAGAATGAGAAATTTATATGTGGTATTGGAATGTCCCCAATTGCCAGGAGGATTTGAATGTAGGACAAATTCAAATCCCGGAGCATCGGGTTTCAGTTTTGGTCAAGTTAAGGTAAGAATTTCATTATTTGATTTAATTAAATCAGTCATGAGTCACAATCTAGTGCAACCTCGTGTCTAGTGTCCTACTTATCTCCTAAACTGAGGTTAGATGTTTGGATTTCTTAGGGTCATTTGAAAATTAGGATGGTAAACTATCTCTCAAGTTGTGCTCCTAAGATCTAGGATACTTGCACTTTAGTTTAAACTTGAAGTGTCCTAAGGTGTCTAATCTCAATTAAATGTTTTTCCACTAACCCTCAAACATCTATAGATCCAACTTAACTCGCTACCAGACTCCTAAAACCTAGGGGAAAAAACTCATAGTCTTGGCAAAAGAGTTATGAGTTGTGTTTCAATCCTAGTTAAAGGGATTGGATTTTAAGTTGATTCAAAGCTTAAGGGGTCTAAGTGTAAGTCCACTAATCACTCAATCGTTATCTAAATTTTCATTTCTTCCGACTCCAACTAATCTTCCAATTTGCAATTTATTTATTTTTTTTGTAAAACAAAAGGTGGATTGCACTACCATGCCTCCTCTTTAGATTGTATCATCCCAAAAATTCAAATTCAAATTTCAATTTTCTCTCATCCTCTCTTTTTCTCTACTTCCCTTGAGATTATAAATCATTTCTGAATTAAATTAAATCGGAAATTCTCATTTTTAACTTGACCGTTAAAAAATAAATAAATAAATAAATTAATTAAAAATAAATAATAAAAAAAATAATAAAAAAAAACGAAAATGAGACCGATTCATTTTTAAAACTAAATTAAATCAATAAAACTCGCAAATGTTTCGGTCTAAAACATTCAAGTGCATTAAAAAAAAAATGATCAGATCAATCCCGAGAAAGATATCCTTTCCAAGTAGCGCTTTTGTTGTCCCTGCTGAGTCTCTATGACAGTCTATACCTCTTTTATATGCATACTTAAGGCGCGTTTGGGGGGGGGGGGCATTTTGCCCACGACGCGGTTTCAAACCGCCATGGAGGGTCGTTTGGGGGCGGCACGTTGCATTTTTTTATAAAACGCCCGCGGTCCCCCTTTCTTCGCATCATTTTTCTCTAAGTTTTACCATAAAAGCATTTTTTATCAAGAAAAATAAGAGAAAATAATTGTTAGGAAACAATGAAGTTTTGTATGATTTCTGTTGATCTTAATAAGTTCTATGATTAAGTATTCCATAATTGATTTGATGTGCATTAATGAAAAATTTTTATTGAAGATATATAAGTATATTGAAGTTACTATAGATATGTAGGATGGATCATTGCATGAGATTAGAAGTAGAGTAGCAAAATAATTTTCGGTCAGTTCACCTGTTTGTTGTATTTATTATATAGATATTTATAAAGAATATCTACAACAAGGTGCATTTATGCGTGCTTTTAGCAAATATCATTATTCTAATTAGTGAGATTTTTTGAAAAAAGTGAACATTCTCCTCAGTTTTTTGTCTATTGCAATTTTAGAGGGTTTAATATTAATAAGAACCACTCAAAATTAAGGATGATAAAATAAAGAATGATTGTATTAGAGGATTAGGAGCGATATTTATGGAAGATAAGGTAGGTGAATATATACTACAGATAATTTAGACTTCTAAAATGAAGGGTAGGACATGCTCTCATTAGATGGGCATAAGAAGTTAACGTTATGAAGATTAGATGGAGGATTGGTATACCTAATAGGAGTATAAACATATGTTGTTCAAAATGATTTTCAAAGAATTGGCTTAACAGCTTAACTGAACATAACTGAATTGAAAATAAGGATTCATAAATCTAGTCCTATATAATTGTGGAAACAAAGGCAGCAATGGCGGATGATGCGACTCTTCCTTAGAATGCCTTGAGTTTTACGAAATGATTTATGACAACACGCTCTGGGTAAATTATTTAGTAATGTCAAAGTTTGGATATTTACCAACTCATCATTCTATTTCAGAAGCTGAGTTTGCCATGGATGAGTGATTCATTTCTTTCTTTTTTTTCTTTGTTGAAGGATTTACACACATACCACTCAATTTCTATGTATTCACATATCCCTAAACTTCAAATTTTACCTACATATCACCTTTCCGATACATGAAAAGCTGCAATTTACATTATAAAAGTTACAATGGTGGCATTTATTATGGGATATGAATAATTTGGGTGGTCTATACGTAAAGAGCAAGATTTAGGTGTTAGATTTGTAAATACGTAAAAATTGTACATGAGAATTGAGTGCTATATATGTAAATTTTCCTTTTTTTTTTCGGTTCCCTAGAACTTGTAAATTCTAGTTATTGCCGTGTGTGCAAACTTTTCTATGCTTATACAAATGGAGCATGCAAATACATGCAAACTTTTTAATACTAATACGCAAAAATATAATATTCGCCATTAATTTCACATTTCATGTTAGGAAGGCTTCTGCGGAAAGCACAGCCTGAATTGATGGATGCTTTGATTCAGGCATCAAGAGATGGCGACAAAAGTAAGTTACAGGACCGTACAGGTCAGGGAACATCATCTATTTTTGGTAATGATGATGACGAAGAAGATATCGAATCTGAGTTAGAGGTATCTGAAATTATATTGATATTATTACAGTAATCTTACCGCAGCTTTATCTTAACTCGGACGGAGTCCAGGATTCAAATTTGCTGATTGAACTTCTGGCAGGAAGGTGAAAATTATATGAAATTGGCAGATAAATGGCTTGATGGCCTAATTCGCAAAGATCCAACAGTAACAAATGAAGTTTATTCGATTCATTCTGTTGATTTTGATCGGCAGGTATTCACACATCTACATTAGTGCTCAGTTATAATACTAGTGTAGCTAAGGAAATGTAGCTTTAGAATTTTGAAGCATTTACATAACATAACACACAGTTCTTATGTATTACATATCTTACACCGATACTTTCATATTTACACACATAGCATTCACATAAAAAATTGCACTATTATCACTTTTTAAAAGTGAAATTCAACTTTTCATGCATAGGTTTAAAGTATCAAAGTGCTATGTATGTAAATATGAAAATTTAAGCTTGAGATATGTAAATACATAAGAATTGTGTGCTGCGTATGTAAATTTCCCTAGAATTTTTTGTTTTTCCTTGGTTTTGGTTAATGGCTTGGTATCCCTTAGCTTTGCACTTTTTGGCATTTTATGCAATATCTTGCTTCTTGTTATGTATGAATTGTTTTTTGGCCTCTTTGAATGACTTCAAAACTCTTATCATTGAAGCCTGCAGAATTGATTTTTTGGGGAGAGAAAACTTACATTTTTGTGAGCTCTGTATATGCAGCATTAGTCATAACCAGCGTTGGACCATATTTTCATTTGGGCTCAAAGTGGTATTTATCATTTTTGTAAAACAAAGATTCAGTTTTTAATCCTGTTAGTTTTTGCTGGTAAAACAGACAATTGTTATTTTACCGATTTAAGCTGATTTAAGGGGCGTGACAGTTTAGGATAGGTCACTCCTGAAACATCTGATATATATACATTTTACAGTATTTATATGCTTGCAATAAGTTGCACTTATTTTAGGATATGTTACCTAGGATAAGTGGGACCACCGAAAGCTTTTATTTCAGTTTAAAATTTTGCAAATAAATTGTATTTTTTTTTATTCCAACCCATCTCTCTAACAAACTAAAAAACCAAAAAACAAACAGGAAATAAAAATTTTCATTATTTATGGATTCCCTGTCCCCTAGGCTTATAAGTAAGGTTGACATATGATCAAATTAATTTAAATTTAAATTAGTCCCAAAAGATTAGAAATAATTCTTCTTTTAATTTTTAATTCATAACTTCTTACCAAAAACAACCCAATCCCATAAATCAAATCCGGTAATATTATTGAAATGCTACTATACCAACTTGTGTATTAGGCCTTAGGAATCACAACTTGTATAACATCCAACAGTTTCCATATATAATTTTAAATCTTCTCAAAAATATATAATTCCAGAAGGATAAAGCTAACAATAATTCATACTCTGCCTCGAAGAGCACAAAAGAAAAAAAAGCTAATAATCACCACTCAAGCCTCACATCATGGCTTTACTTAAAATCTAAAATTTTGATTACATTTTGATTTAAGCTGGATTAGTTTCAAAATTCATTGGAGTTGATTAGACTCAATATCATTTAATTTCGATTTAATTCAACATTTGATTTGAATTAAATTTATTTTACTATCAATAAATATATTTATATTATGTTATATAAAAGATACCATATATAAATGTTGATGATGGGTGGTGAATTAGAAGCAGAAGTTATGGTGGATTTTAATATTTATTCTATGGTAAATGGAGGAGATTGGATAAGATATGAATGAAATTACTCAATATTTTGAAGATTCAGCATCCATAACATGAGGATTTTATTTATTTTTCTTTGAAACGTGTTTATTTGTTTCTTTCAGTTTTCTTTTAATTGTTATAATTTCATAGTGTATCTTGAATCAATTTGGTATATGAGAATCATTTTGCTTTTGCATTTGCTTTTAGTAGCTTCATGTTGTTTTTTTATTATTGTTATTTTTCTTTTATTAATTAACAACTACTATCATGTATGATTTCTTGCTTTAGGAAACTCCATATTATAAAGTGTCAAAATAGACCATTAGCTGGGCCATTTTGAATCCCAGAATCTATAGATTTGTCAAATTATTCCCTAGATTTTTAAAATTGGGACTGAAAGTTATCCATTAGGATTATTTGAGTTCATATCAAAAGATTATGAAGATTAAATTGAGACTTTTATAAACTCTAGGACTAAACTTACTCCATTCAAAGAGTCGGAGGATTATTTTGACACTTCTCTCTTATAAATAGTCTAATATTTATTTTTATATTTTCTCTTAAATTATTAGAGAATCTTTATGTTTGTCTAATTGTTTTGTGAAATCCATGTTTGATTTATTTAGCTGTTCTTTCTTCCTTTTAGCAATGGATTGATTTACAATCAAAATATGAAACCAATAAATAATTTGTGCTCTACATAGAATTATTTTGTTAGTTTCATGGCATTCATTACCAATGTTTGTCTTTAAATTCATATTATCATCGAATTTTAATACATTAAGGTCTAATGACAAATTGGAGACAGAATCAAGGCGTTGATTCCTTTGGTGTTACTACAAATGACCTTGTACTGTATCAAAATGTTTGTGACTGCTAAAACCCTTGTATTTCTTATAGTAATATTTACACAAGTACCACACAATTCTTATGTAATTACATATCTAACACCCAAAATTTGATATTTAGACTTTGTCTTGGTGTCATAAGTCTATGCATGAAAAGATATGTTTCACTTTTATAAAGGTGGCGATGGGGGTATTTTTGATGTGATGTTAAAGATTTGCGTGGCATGCATGTAAATATGAATATTTAGATGTTAGGTATGTAAATAATAAGAATTGTGTGGCGTGTATGTAAATGCTCCTTTTTTATATTTTGGAATGGATTGTTCTTAGGGATATTCACTTGTTGGTAGTCTCTTAGGCGTGCATGTCCTTTGCCAACTAGCTTTTTAGCGTTTCCATAAACCATAATTGCCTTGACCTTGTTTCTTTATTGGGAAATTAACATACATACGACACAAGGTTCGGATGCATTTACATATCTAACTCCTAAAGCTTGATATTTACATCTATAACATTTTGGTGCCATAGGCTTACATATGAAAATGTGTATTTCACTTTTTAAAGTTAGTAATTATAATATTTTTATGTTATGTTAGAAATTTGAGTGGTATGGATGTAAGTGTGGAAGTTTAGGAGTTGTATATGCAAATACGTAAGAATTGTGTGGTACGTACGTAAATGCCCCTTGTTTAATATTTTCCAGCTAGGCCTTGGTGATGGTCAAAGTCAGGTGAATTATTTAATAGATTAGGCTACATTACCTAATGCCTAACTTTTATTTACCTTAGAATTCTCATTAGCTTCACTTGGGTGTTCTTGGTCTTCGCCGATGGCTTTACCTTTTTTTTTCCTATGAAAACGCCTATCTAGAATAAATGCATGGCTGGCACACACAAAGTAGTAACAAAGAGTCCAATCACCAAATGATAAAAAAAAATTACATCCATAATGGATAGTTTATGAATAAAATGGGTTGTCACTAAATAAAGTGCACCTAATCTCATCATCGTGAGAAACTTTATATATCAAAGCCAAGTAATTTGACATTTCTTCTTATAGATTTTAGAAATACAAAAATAAGATTAGAAAGAAAAATCAAAGAGATCTAAATCATACCAGAAGATTTACAACTAGATGCTGCTCAAGAATCCTTCTGCCTTGCTCTCTTTATTTCTATTCCTCAATGGCAACTGGTTGCATTTCTTATTGATTGGAATTTAATATGGTAGAAAATGAAAAGAAAATCTAGTCAATTACCAGAATTTTTAACAAACTTTTGAAACATTTCTTCACAAAGAAGGTATTTAAAAAAATAATCTGTATCTTAAAATCATCTATTTTGATAATATTATTGATGTAATATGCTAACAATATCCCCTTTAATTTAATAATCTGGCAATATGATTTTGATTCTCCTTTGTGCCTCCGCTCTAAACTGAGCTTCTGAAGCTCTCCAACCTTTGAGGCATGAAACCCTACAACCTCACAAATCTCATATAAATATTTGCTCTTTGCACATATGATATCTCTTAAGCACGTATGTCGCACACGGAGATGGTGCTATCAATATTCCTAATTTTACCACCACTAAATTTTCACACCCTTGATATTATATTTTCTCTCTTTAGATGTTGTAATGGTGCAACTTAGCATGGGAATATATTATTCAATAGAATATCAAGTAAATTATGACCCGTTTGGGATGATTACAGTTTTTTGTAAAGGTGTTGGTAAAATTGTGGTGTGGAAAACAACTTTTAAGGAAGTTACAATGTGAATTATAAATATTTATTTTTACATGAAGTTCGATAATAATTTTCTTATAGCCACCACACTTTAGCTAATTTAGTTGCAAAAAGTAGCTTCCCACCACAAAAAAATTTCTAAAAAAAAACAAGAAAACAGTCCCCCAAATAAATCTATGGAGATGGTCTGAGATGCAAAGCAGATAGAAAGTTGTTCCAAACATGTAAGAAGCTAACCATTATGCTTATCCCAATCACATTGCATCAATGTAGATGATAATGAAAGCAGCCAGCTTTGCTTGAATTTTCTCCTTGTAATACATACAATCTCTCTTTGCTTTCATGATAGCTAAGGGACCCTTGCAAATTTAAAGGACTTTGGAATCTTTTATAAACATGCACCTTGCTTTTTTTAATTTCTTTTGATAACTGTAACATTATGGCTCATCAATAATCTAAGTACAAAATTTAAATGCTCAAATATATCAGAATTTTCTTAAGGTTTATTAATAGTTTGACCCTTATCAATGTCTTAGTTACACAACATTGAATTATATAACTACATCGTGTCAAAATCCACTTTTTTGCTTGCTGCATTGTTTCCCAAACAAATATAGCCCACAATCAAGTTAGGTCTAGAATTAATTGACTATTACTTATCTCTCCAGCGGATACTAAAAGACTGTTGTTGAAATCTACACTTGACTGATCTGCAACAGCACTGTAATTTATCAACTTATCCTTTTCATGGTTGTCATCAACATTTATGCAATTTCCTTTTCACAATTTGATCTTTTGTGATTTTTTTTTTCTTTCTTTGAGCAATTGAAGCAATTGACATCTTTAAACTTTTCACAAGACTTATTTCTATGAAACATTGGATTAGACTTGTCATTGACAACCCCCTAGCCTACTACCTTTTTAACTAATACGCCCTTAAGCTTAGAAATTGTATCGTTAAAAGTGAATTTTTAATATCTTCTAAGTTGATGATATATTTAACACAACATGGTGTTATAAAAACGCTTATAAGAAGTTGACAAGGAGCACAAAATACAACGTAGAATGGCAATCAACTATCTTTTCTTATTGTCCTCATATCCTTTGAACAATAGAATTAAAGTCATAATAATGTAATTCAATGGGCATATAGTTATTTATGTGTGCCAAATATAAGTTTTATTTTTGATGTTGTTGTTGGAGAGTCTTATGTATGAAGAATCTAGGACCTCCACGAAGGCCTTATTCAATGAACATGCTAGATTGTTTAGAGCATCCTTTAGTTTTGTTTCTTTCATCAATAGCTCTACCAATTGATTGTTTCCACACAAAAATTGAAATTCAATTTTTTTATCTCTATCTTTAATTTCTTTAAATTTAATTTCTTTAAACTGTTAAAATTCTTTTGGCGAAACCCGATTCGTGAAGCTACAAAATTGTTCAAATTGTATTTAAACCTATATAAAGAACCTTCAATGTATCTATTCAATCCTAAATAAAACTCATGCCGAAGGAGCTTACAAGGCCCTAGATTATCCTAAATTAAAGGGGCATTTACTTGACATGCTACCCAATTCCTATGTATTTACACATCTAACACCTAAATTTTTACTTTTCACATTTATTCCACCCAAACATTTTATCGCATATAAAATATCACCATTTTAACTTTTAAAAAGTGAAACCGTGTGTAAAAATTGAAATTTACGTGCTAGATATGTAAATAAATAGGAATTGAGTGGCATGTATGTAAATCTTCGTGAATGAAAAAGGACAAGAGGATTACAACAACACTGATTGACAATCATACCCAATGTTTCAACAGAGGATAGCTTGCTCACCAACAAAATTAAAACAGAGGGAATAAACAACAAAGCACCATGCATGTAAATATAATAGTTTAGTTGCGAGATATGTAAATACAGAAGAATTCTGTGCCATGCATGCAAATTTCCCTTCATTTCTTAGAACTGAAAAACAACAATCATTCTAACAGGAACTGCGGCGGCTCGTCCGGAACGTTCAATCCATTCTGGAACCATCACAAACTGATCAAATTGAGTTGGAGGGTGATGATAAGCTCAATGAGGCGAAGAAATCCCTCCTTCGCTTCTTGCGTTTATTAGCGAAGAAATTATCGGCCGAGTAAGTATTTATTTTTTATATTTTCATAAACAATGAGCATAATTATTCCAATCAGTATTGCTTGAAAAACATGGTTACGTTTCTTATTTTTAAGAAGCAATGCATTTTAGTTGTCAAACCTCACATCCTCTGTTTACAAATTTGTCCGTATTTGTGAAAATGTGGAAGCAATTGCATGTGGTAGGAGAGAATTTTCACAAGGAATTAATACCTTTGTAGGATTTCTCCATAGGTTCTTGGCTTTATTTGGTGTAGGAATTGAATTGAAATTTGCTTACCCGTTTATGCATTTACATACATACCACCAAAATTCTTTTATATTTATATATCTAACATCTGAACTTTTATTTTTACATTTATAACCCTCAAATCAAAAAAACGCACCTTTTCAAGATGTGGTATAGGCATAAAAAATCAAAGTTTGGGTATTGGGAATGAGAGAATTGTGAATAGAGAAATAGATGTTCGTATTTTTAGGTAAACTTAATTACATGAAAACTAAAAACTATATCCTGTGAGTGTGTTTGGCTTTAACTTGTTTGTATGTAAATATAAAAAATTTTAGTGGTAGATATGTAAATATATGAGAATTGGATGGCATTCTTTTAAATTTTTTTGGCAGTATCTTAATCATTCCGTTCCGTTTGGTTGAGATTCTCTTGCTGAAAATGATGCTGCCCTTTTTCCACTTGAATGCTATTTTGTAAATTTGTTCATTTTGCATTATAAACCCTCCGCGTGGGTTGAAGCAATCATTTACACACACACTCATATTTCCAAGTGCACACGTAAGACGTACGCAACGCTGTGTACGTCGGTCATGTAACATCTTTGTAACCTACCTGTACCTTCTAGTAAGTTTCACGCTTCTGTTTTCGTATATTTGTAGGTTACAGGTAGGTTACAATGGGTATAACGCAGATATAACCCTCCGATACCCGCTGAATAACCTCCCTGACGTACGCAGCGCTTTACTTACGCAAATTTTTCTCCATATTTCCTCTCTTGTGTGGACTCGGTAGTAATTCAGTAACAGAAATGTTCAACCTTGATGTGATGGAATTTGTGCTTTGCTTTTATAACATGCTTTCTCTCTCTATATCTCTGATTGATCTTTAACTCTCCACGAGAAAGAGATGGAGAGAGATTACATGTTTTGCATCCAAAAATTTTATAGGAAGATTTACATAAATACCACTCAATTCCTATGTATTTACATATCAAACACTCAACTTCAATTTTTGCATTTAAGCCATTTTATCTATACATAAAATGGTGTATTTTATTTCTGCCAAATTCTTATGTATTTACATTTGGAGCAACCAAACTTTATTTTTTTATATTTATGTCACTTAATTATTTTATATTCTTAACTTCTAATAAGCTAAATATGCTTCTTCATTCATATGTATGATGACATATATTAGAAAAGTTGGGTTAGGATTTGTTTATGTTGGTTAAAAATATAGTTTTTGTTTGGAATTTTTTTTTATTAGTAAGGCTTATTTTCTTATAGAGCTGACACACAAGCAATTTAATTAAAAAATATATTAAATTTCATGAATAAAAAATTTTAAAATGCAATAAAAAAGTTTTAGCCAAATAAAAATGTTATAATTTTTCAAATAATAGAAGTTGAATTTTATGTCATATTTTATTTTTATTTAGTTTTAATAGATTATGATTATCTTTTAAACAATATGCCTAATGCCCAAATTTTTTTAGCTCTACCTCTATCTTTCTTAAGATAAATCAAATCTAAAACATCTACATTTTTTATAGGGTTATCAGATGGTTGACGTTTAGTGTTATCAAATCATCTAAGACGACTTTCTCTAATATTG